CCCCTCACTGCTACCCAACTACACCATCTCTTACTTAGTTCCGCAGATAGCTGGAGAAGACTGGAGCGGTAAGTTTCTCTTGATCTTCCCTGTTCGGTTCTACACGGGGATGCACAGGGTAGGCGGTGGTGCTGGGGGGTGGCTGCAGGGCCGGAGCCAGCGCGGCTGGTGCTTTGCGAGCCGCGGGGCCGGCTCTATGGGGATGCGCAGGGTGGGCAGTGATGCTGGGGGGTGGCTGGGGGGACAGCTGCAGGGCCGGAGCTGGAGCAGCTGGTGCTTTGCCTTTGCAAGCCGTGGGGCCGGCTCTACGGGGATGCGCAGGGTGGGTGGTGGTGCTGGGGGGCGGCTCAGGGCCAGAGCTGGCTCAGCTGGTGCTTTGCGAGCCGCGGGGCTGGCTCTCCACAGCAGTGCTGACGGGGCGGCTGTGGGCGGGGGCGCGGCGGCAGTTGACCTTCCATGGGCCGCGCCAGCTGGTGGTCTACGCAGTGCTGACCTGCGCTGCCACCACCTCACTCTGCGCATCTACGTGGCCATCCTGGAGCGCCTGGCTCACAACACCTGCCTCCGCCACCCACCCCCGCACAGTCCAGCCATGTAGATTTTTGGAGAAGTGAGAAATCGAGATTGAATGTTGATATTCTAGCTGCAGCACTTGCTGTAAAATTCAATATGAAGGATATTTCTTGTTCAGATATTTCCAATATATTGTTAGAAGATGATACATTGACAAAAAATATTCATTCAATGGAAAAGTACTCATTTAAATAATTAATAGGCATGTAAGCATAATTACAATATAAAATGTTATTGTTACAAATGTTTTTTATTATGCATTGATCATATTATAGTGTATTCTGTATTATTGTTGCAATAAATACAATGTTTCTTTTATTTACGATATTTTTTTCTTCAATTTATTCGTGTCCTTCTTTTTGTTGTAAAAAAGTTGATCACCTTAAAAATCAGGAAACCATGACGAAAAATTCTGTTTGTGTATATGTACTGTATAATAGAAGTGTGCACATGTGCATGTGTCAGAGGGAGAGGGAGTGTGTATGCACAAACACACTCACTCACTCCTATTCCTCCCACTCGCACAATGATCTGAGGCCTTCACCAGAAAACAATCTCTCTCCTGATAGTAAATACAGTTAATGAGCAAGGAAAGATGGCAGCTATGCCAAGCAACTTCAGAGATTCTGCCACATTGTTGTGCACTGAGCTGTGAAAAGGTAGGCTTTGATCAATAACAGAAAATAAATATTTTAGTCTCCAAACACACTGAAGTAAATAAATATTCTCACTTGATTTCCGTTCAATATAACCACAAAGGGACAATATAGTTAAATCATTTCAGGGTCAATTTCAGAGACTTTCTACTTCGAACATTAAAACAACAGAAAACAGGGATAATATCTCTGAGTTGATCTGAACATATCACATTCCAGGCATTTGCTGTAGCTCTCTTTCAGTATATAACAAGCTACCAATTTTGTTTTAGGTCATGTACAAAGAGGTATAGAAAGCAAGAGGTACCAAAACCTTCTGTTCATTTCAAGCGGAACTGCATTTGACCTTGGTTATATCTAAAAAACAGTAGCAGGGGTGCAGTCTCCATTTAATTTGTCAAGTTTATTTTGCCATCATAGCCTAATTCATTAATTCTGTATAGCTACTTAAATATGTGAAAGATGCATATATCCAATAATAAATCTGCTAAAAAAATTTAAGGCCTGTATATTCCATTGACATTCCTTAATTCCAGATAAATATAACTTACAGCCAATATGTTCAGGAAGATTCAAAACCGTACTGAATGTGAGTCATGATTCCATGACCGTATTTACTTGGAAAAAATAAAGGACAAGCCTGATGCCTGGAGGAAGAAATGATGGACTGAAGACATCTCTTTGAATTTCTCCAAATCAAGGAGAGGACCAGAGATCAGCCACAAGGTCTTCAGATAGTTGCTCTTTGCAAGGAGACACAAGACAGAATCTCTGGTGGAATTTGAGCACTAGAAGACAAGGAAATAGTCATTTGGCTCATACCATGGTCAATGCCTTTGAAAACACACTAACTTTGCGTACTTCTTTTTCTAATCATTTTTGGAAATTTCTTATTAACTACTTTTCAGCTATTATACATTTTTTGATCCAACAAGTTTGAAAACATCAGGTGAATCTGCCTTCAATTTTTAGTGAAAGAAAATTTTAATTACAGAGTTAAAAACTTTTTTAAAAAGTTTTTGAAATAAATGCAAAATGTTGATGAAAATTTTGATTTTATAAAGCTACAAATAACTAAGGAACCAGATAAATTTGAAATAAGATTTTGGAATTAATTATAAAAACCCTTCTATTGAGAAAATATTTTTGTTTCTATTTTAAATAATAATAATAAGAAGAAAAGATTTTAAAGATCGGACATTAGAGGAAACTAGTGATTTCAATTAAAGGAGAAGAATGCCTAAACTTGACTAACAGTTACTGAATGGTGCAAAATATTCTAACATGAAATATTGAAAGATACTTCCAAAAACGGTGTCAGAAATTGATGTTAACAATGTCAAGATCAATATCTCTTTTTATAGCTAAAGATGTAATAAAAGAGGAACAAGGCAGAGACTTATAAGTGGACTTATAAATAAGAGGCTACAGGAATGACATGGAAAAATATGTTCTATTGGACATACAAAAGAAATTACCTGATGTTTTAATAATTAAACAGAGCATACAAACAATAAGTCAAGAGAGAAAATGAGATACCAGCTCAATTTAGTTAGAATCTGTGACGTCTGACTGAAAGGTTCCGTTCTTTAATCCCAGATGTATGAGAACTAGTCAAGGGTGCTCATAACTAAAAAAGGAGGAGACGGTTAATAACTGTGATCTTGACATACATAAATTCAAATATACATATGTATTTGCCATGTACTTAAATGCACCCATATATCACTAGTTGTATTGCTGGACAATTAGCATTCATGTGCAATTTAAGGTGCCAGTTGTCACCTAAAAAAGTCTCCATGGCATAGGGCGTTGAGGCACCACTTGTCTCCAATTATTTCTGCCTATTCAATTCCAGTTATTTCTGCCTATTTCTGCGTATCCAATAAGAGACACTTAGGGACAATCCAGGTACCTTCATTTAAACAATGCCACCTAGTAGCATCCAGAAGCATACCTTCTCTATCAATGAGTCTGCCCTCTGGCACAGCATCTCCCCAGAGGGGCTCCGACCCTACAAGGTTTTCTAAGTTTTCGAAAAGTTTCCTTTGCTCCAGGCCTGAGGTTGTTGGTTTGTTGAACAATGTGTTTTTTTGCAATGGATAATGTTATTTAGGCGTACGTTTTTTTTCCTTTTCTTTCTTTTTTTTTACTTCTTTGAACTATGTAAGCTGCCCACAGTCCTTTGGGAGCTGGGTGGCCTTTCCAAATCTACATAAATATGTTCATTTTTCTCAACTTCAGGCTACTGCTGAGAATAAAACTGTGGCAACTGAACACCTATGGAAACAAGAGATGAAGTGGGGCAAATTTTCACCTACAAGCTCTGCAAATTTCATGTAAACACATCAGTAAATCACTTCTGTTACAATTTTGGATTTAATGGGGTAGAAAAAATTTTAAATTTTAGTAATAGGCTCAGATCTTAGACAGGAGCAACACTGTGATCTTGGCCAAGGTCTCTTATGGAAATGTTCTAGAAGGCATTCATGGAAGAAATTCCATATTTGAAAACTCTGACCTTAATCCAAACGAAATGCGGTGTCAAGATCAATAGTTTTTGTAAGACAGATCCAAATAAGGTATTCTCTGTGGACAAATCAACTTGTACAGGATATGTTTGGTTGAAGTGATTGCTGCTAGAGGAAGGGCCATCAGTTGCAATTCCAAAGCTTCATGTATAGGTTTTTGTCATTTAATGATGGTAATTGTACCAGAATTTCCTTTGCTAAAAAATAGCTACCAGGATTTTTAATTACTGTTATTCCTTTCATACTTATTCTTTACAGCTCATCCAAGAATGCTGATTGATTTTCATATAGCTATGGCGATCTCTAGTGGCCAAAAGGGACAATTGGAACAAAAATCTACAAATCCAGGGAGTTTAACACTACATCCCACCATTTAGTGACAGCAGTTTCAGCATTTCTGGCTGATGCCATTAAGGGAATCCCCACCGTTGTTAAATGCAACATCATGTGGTAGCCACATGTAATTCTGAGCTGGTTGCTGAGCACCTGGATCGTGGTCATGCAATTAGGGAGACACTGCAAAAGCCACATCTTCAAGGATTGGTTATAAGTTCTACTTGTTCAGCACAATTATACATTCTAACAGTCACTGAAGGAGTAGTTATTGAGCAAGAATTATTTGTACTTCTCCCAGCAAAGAAGGCAAATGTAGTACACATTCTGGTGTGCTTATTTAACCAGTATCTCTTTAATAATAAAACTTAGGTGAAACTCAGATCACATTCTGGGTCACTGACCTACAGGCTAAGGAACAGTCTTCTCTCCCTTAATGTCCAGTCTGGCTGGCAAAACATTAACCTGCTGCTAAACCTTTTCTAAAGGCTTGACTTCATCCTGACGGAGTCTAAAGAATAAATGGAATTTTCTGGCAGAGAAGTGCAAACAGCATTTTGGCTTTGGCTGTTCAGCACTACAGGTTAGAGGCTGTGGAGTGTTAAGCAACCAATATATATCTTTAATGCTGGGAGTTACAAGATATAAAATATGAGATATAAAGAGATATGGTGACACCTTTATATGATTAAATTAAATAGGAGAGTCAGTTTGGTGTAATAGTTAAGGCACTAGAAACCAAGAGACTGTGAGCAGTGTTTTTCAAACTTGACAACTTTAAGATATGTGGACTTCAACCCCCAGAATCCTTCAGCCAGTTAAAGAATTGTCAGTTGAGATGCAGAAAACAGCCACGGAAAAAATTGCGCACGGGTTCTTTAAGGCAAAGCACGTGATGATCCGTGCCTCAAAAGCGGAAGAGGATGGAGAAAATTGGGAAATTGGTGATACTTTCTCTCTTGTGTTTTAAAAGAACAGCGATTGCTTTTCGTAAGGCTATTGTTGTCGGGAGCATTCTGTAAAAGTCAGGACTGATTGAAAATGAGTTGGGTGGATTAAAACTGCTTATAATTTGGAAGATCTTGCCGGGAAGGGTAAGTAGTTGGAAAGATGATCCAAATTAAATCCAAGGAAAATGAGCGGGAATAGAAACGTTAAATTCCGAAATCGTTATGGCTGGATTTATACTTTCATCTAAAAGTAGACAGAAGGCAGCATGGCGTAGCTTGCTTGAAGCCTGCTACAGATTTTTTTGATAACCTAGTAACTAGTTTAAATGATGCTTGCTGTTAAAAAAAGTTGGGAATTTTTACTCTCCCATCTTTTAAGCAGAAAAAGAGAAAGCTTCTTACAAACATAAATTGATTCCTAGTTCAATTAAAGCTAGGGGAGGTCTTAGGAAATGCGCACATATCTTCAGGACAACAAGATTTTACATTCTTTTCAAGATTAAGCTGTACTGCTAGAGCACGTGGAGCAAAACCCACACACAATTGCGCCTTTCAAGCTTAGCCTTTCTTGCTGCTGGGATCCTTATTTAGTAGATTATTATAGCAGTGTTGCTTACACTTTTATACTGAGACAATGAGACAAACTCATACACTGTGTAGTTTATTTGCCTGTACTCTAAATGTGAAGATCACAAAACTGACATTCTTAAACTACTTGCATTTTCAATTCGTATTATTTGTTCAGCAACTATTCTTTGTATTTGGGGGTGAGATACATTTGTTATCATCACAATGAAAATAATAAGCTTAATAAAATTTATTTCGTGGTTGGGCAAAAGCGAACTCTTGATTGTTGTGTAAGTTCTCTGCCTATAGCCTAAGACACTTTCCCAGATATCACATATGTCCATGAAATCTTTAGGTGTAAATAATGTCATTACCTCTTGTGCAATTAATAAGTGGCCCATGAAGGAGGTCTGAGAAAATAAGGCAGTTCCAAGTACTGTATTTATTGGTTACAACCTCCAAAATCAAATTGTGCAAAAGCAAGTCATATTCCTTTAACTTACTGGATATAGGAATACTATTGCTACATGCACATATTTTTCTCAAACATCATAGCAGTTTAAAGTAGCTTTTCTATTATTAATGAGTAAATAGTATTATTTTTGTAAATCATGTTGGATCTTGGAACATGTATAACATTTTTATCATTTGTTTTGTAAATCTTCTATAGCACACAATGTTGCATACCTGATTTAGAAGTAGATGAATTATATAGTAAATATTAATTCAAACCTCTTTTTCTTCCAATAGGACGATTAAAAAACTGAAAAACAGATCTTGCTACAGTGGGTAACTTCTAAACAAGATACTTAAGAAGGTACTTTCAACATGTCCTTTACAGAGCAGTGTTTTAAATATCGAAGTCAAGAATCACCTATATTTTATAAACCAAGGTTATAAAACCTTTTCATATTATAGTTGATGAACTTCCACACATATTTAACATTTTTCACTTGTTATTGCATTGAAAAATGCTGTATTGCAATAATAATTTCAAAGAATCTAGGGCCTCTGTTGTGTATTTCTAAACCAAAATCAAATAAATGCCTTTATATTTTGATTTGATATATGAGCCCAGAATATTCAAGTACACTTCCCCTTTCCACATTTATGTGAACCTATTTAAACATTCTTCATTTAAAATATATTGTAATCAAATAATACATGGTGCTTTGGTCCTAATTCCATTAATACTTAAAAACATGCTGGCTGGCTTTGAGAATTGCCTTGTTTTTCTAGGAAACTGTTCAAAGTTTAAATTGTGATATTTGGATGAAATGTGGGCTGAATGATCTTTTCAGGCCATTGGACTTTGATATAAGAATTCCAGCATCTTAAAAAAAAACAAAAATAAAACCCAGAATTGATCTACTAAGCACTTTTAGCCATTGTTCAATTACCCATAATGCAGATTATTCTATCTATAATTACAAAACACAAATACAAATGAAATTTGATCAAGTTTTTCTTATTTATCTTTTTTGTGAGTTAAAAATTCACAGCACAATTTTTGAAAGCGTGTTTATTCACATTTCAATAAATAAATGTTCAGTCTCTACCTTGAAGAAAAATTGAGGAAAAAATAGAATCCAGCCTAAATTCCATTGCCAGCAATGGACAAAAGTTAATAAATAGTGCTTGTCTATTAAAAATCTGTATGGCAGTACAGACTGAAGATAAGAAGGCTACTAGGGCTAATCTATACTTCAAGACTAATTTATGGTACCAAGTCTCAGACTCTGCCACTTCCAAATCTATGATTGTGTTTTCTATCTCAGAATTCCCTGCATATTGAAAAAGCTAAACTGGAGAGAAACATCCTTGTATGTCATCAAAAACAATCATTGAATCCAGGAAGATTCTGAATTTTATAATAGTTCAGCCCTTGAACTGTGTAATTCTGAATTCTAAAATGTACAGAAGAGCAGATTATGGTATCATTTTCTAAACATGCTACCTGAATGGAATACTAGAAGCTTAATGTACAAACCTTAGAATTCTTCACAGAAGAAAGTAAGGCCTTCTATACGGCCTTTTGTATATTATTTCCTCACCAAAAAATAGTGATATTGCATTTAGAACAGAATTCTTGTCTAATTTTAGAAAATCTATTTATTTCATTTTATGGAAGTGAGATGCATCAGTATTGCTTTTCTTTTGGCTCTTTCTTGCTTTCTGTTGTGTCAGGCCACAGACTCCTTTGAGGTCCATTTGGAATCAAAGTGACAGAAATTATTTCAACAAAGTGGTGGAATAAAAAAAACATCCTGAATTATCCTCATACTCACTTCCAAAACTCTTCAAAAAGAACTGGGCCACTTCAAGCCATGCACATCTTATGATTAAAATTGGTATCAGAGAAACAAATCAACACGTAAAATGGCAATGCTTTACAATTAAGTGAGCATATATAGCAGTCTAATATACACATAAGCTTCCACCTTTAAGGAAAAAAATAATTACATAAACAAACTAACAAATTATGAATTTAATTCTGCTGCTCTTCTAATTTGGGTTAGATTCTTCGGTGCATTTTTTCAGCGTTTTAGAATCCTGGAACTTTTCTGCAAATCTTTCTCTTGCTTTTTCCCAGTTCCTTTTGTTTTTGGTACCAAGAATCTGAATATCTTCAGCAGAAATAGGCATACTTGCACCTAAGCCTGCATGCTTTCTGTGTAACTGAAGTTTGATCTGTTAAACATTAAATTTGTATAAATTAAATTCAATAAACATGCATTCTATAATTTTAATTATTTTTTTAGACTTGGAAAAACACAGTTATGTGCAGAACCTAGAAATAATATTATTACTTTGCTAAAATATTATTAAGGTATTGTCGATGTATATTCATGCTTTGCATATACAACTCCACCAGTCTTTTGGGGCACTAAGACATCCAAAATGGCCATTGGGAAAATATAGAAACATATAGCCTGGTATACTTTGTTCTTCTGGCTACACCTTCAAAATATATTCAGGCTACAGAGAGAGAGGAAGATGGGGAAGTTGCACTGCATAGTACACTTCGATTTTACCAAATATATCACAAGATCAGACATTAATCAAAAAAATTCCTGTCTATAAGACTAATTTGTTCTAACAAAACAAGTAAATATGCCATGTCAAATTTCAAGCATATGTTTCAATCAAGTGGACTACTAGTTCACCATTTAATTTTATCATACATGGAAAACTTTTCAATTTTCTTAGACCTAACATGAGTTTAGCAGTCACCCTTCAGACACTGAAGTTTAATTCCCAGTTTTCCTCATAATCACACCTGAAAAACTAAATTTATCACCTCAGACAAAAGATCTTTGAAAGACTTTTTCAAATTTAATCATCTTTGTGTCTTATTGCTGTTTCAAACCAGATTTCTTAATTTCTTAACCCTGTTGCATATCATGTTAGCATTGACAGCCATGCGTATCATGCATGCATATCATGTTTCTTAGGCTTGTTAGTAAGCAGTAAAAATGAAAAGATCACTGAGAAATTTGAATTTGTTTGCTTTATCAGTTCCAGTAAATGTAATACAGTGCAGAAACTATATCCTTGCAAATACAATTTCATATGACATCTGTGCACAGAATGCTTTGCTTTTAAAGCAAAACTTTGCATCTGGTCAAAAATGGCAGTTATTCCAACTCCATTGTTCATAAGCCTGTGTGTAGGATTGTGCAAAACATTTCAAAGAGTTATTTTGCAAAGCAAGCAATGCATGAATAAAGTACATTTTTCAATTATTGAAACACCATTTTAAAAGGTTCACAGATGCCTCTGCATGTATACAAGTGCACAGCTACTTTACTACAATTGTTCCCAGGCTGTTGGGAGATAGCTGCACCAGCCTTACAAAAGATGCAGCTTTTGTGTTAATGATTGAAGACATACTTTGCTATTGTTCTGCACATTGTAAAAGCATCTCATTGGAATGGTTTGCTCATCCACACTACATTGTCAGGATGGTCAGTTCCCAATCACAGATATTTTTAATACTGAGTAATAGTAGGGATTACAAAATGTTGCATGTATGGAACAAGCAACAGTTGTCCAAAGCACGTGTGTTATGTTCAGGCAGAGACTGGAATACATATTCTAGGTCTGGGCCTGAACATAACACACAACCTTCTGAGCAGAGCCGATCTGGTTGGGAAACAGAGGAGAAAATGCAAAACCATCAATATTTGCACATAGCAGCAGTAAAGTGCATGTACCGGAGAATAAGTTGATGAAAAGATTGGGATGGAGATCAAGTGGGCAAAGATTGGATGTGCCGTACAATGCAGCAATGGCAGGGAAATAAGGGAACAAAAGGCACTGGACAAGTGAGGAGGGGCAGATGGGCTATGGCAGGAGACTGGTAGCTACAAGTGAAGGAGGATACTGGGAACTCATGAAAAGGGGTGGAAGGCAGCCAGGTATCTTGCTCTTGAATTCACATGTAGCAGCAAAAGAGATAAGCTGAGCACATGGGCACAGGGAACAAGATGGGCAAGACATCATATTATACTTGCTCATAAGACCCTTGAAGATTTTTCCAAGATGAAACCAGAAACATTTAAAATGTTTTTTATTAAGAGTTTCAGTCTGGATAAATCATAACCCGCTCAGAATTGGCCAGCTGAATTTCTGAAGTTCTTTTTGGCAGGTATAGAGGCTTAGCAGTATCTGAATAAGCAGCAGCAAATCTTAGGCTTTTCTCCAAGGGAATTTTGATGGCAGAAAATATATGCCTCTGATAACCCTAGGTAACTAACTAGAGGGTTGTACGCCCAAGGTTCTTTGGCGCTAAAATCTAGTTTGCATTATGCCCTAAGTGGTTATAAGTGTCCTTACTTAACAACCCTAATTGGGAACCAATAATTCCACAGTTAAGGAAAGTGATGGCTAAATGGGAAATCACATGACTGCAACTGTTTTCTGTCTGGAAAGAAACAAAACTAGTCAGTTTCGCACTTTCAGCTTTTTCCATAATGCACCTGTAGCTTTCAACCTCAGGCTGCTGATGGGATTGCTTTGTTTTCCCGGGATAGAAGAGTAAATTGCTTACTCTCTTGCAGTCCCTTTCTGTCTAATCTTTCTACACTGCAGGGAGCTAAAAAAAAAAAACCCTACAGGTCCAGTACAGGATACTGACTATAATGGTGATCATGTGACTGAGGGACTCTGTAAACGTTGTAAATAGCCTAAAATTGGCCATAAAGTTATTTTTTCAGCACCGCTGTAACTTCAAATGGTCACTGAGCGAGTGGTCAGTAAGTGAAGACTACTTGTATTGACTTTCTTTTTTAGATAATTCAAACATTATGATAGATTTATCGATCAGATTATGTTTTGATTGAAGAAGAAAAACCTGGAAGGATACATGATTGTTATCTTGAAGTATCTAAAGGAGTGTCATATAGAAGACAAGGCAGAATTATTCAGACTCCTCCAGAAAACAGCATAAAAAAACCAGATTAAATGACAAGGAAGTAGATTTAATTGGATACCAAGAAAAAGCCCTAATGGTAAGAATTAAACAATGGAACAGCCTGCCTCAGGAGATGAACTGTACTTTACTGGAGGTTGGCCATGTGCTGTTCAGGATAAGATAGTACTGGTTTCTTGCAATTGGGAGAGGGTTGGATGGAGTGATCTCCAAGATCCTTTCCAAGATCATGATATCCACCTTTTCTGGCATTGCCATTTTCATATTATTATGTGTTCTCAGAAATCCCATATGGCAGAGATTTGCAAGACAAGTGCATTCTACAGCACAAGTATACTTAAAAATAAATTCTACTGATTTAAACAGGGTTCTTTCTTTTATAAATAAAACAGAATTAAGATGTTATTTATATGAGATTGTTCACAAAAATAAATAAATAAATAAATAAATAAATAAATAAATAAATAAATACCGGATCTTTTATTCCACCACCACTCTTTCCAAGTCCTTCTCCTTTCTTCCATCCCATCTTCTCCAATATTTTGTGTCCTTTGTTACTCTCACTAATTTCCCTTCAAAAGTAAAACAACAAACACAGAAAGGCGAAGTTGGAACAATAGTTTAAATTTTTATTCTTCGTTATATTTTAATACTTATTTTGAAAATATATTTATATATAAAATATACCTTCTTATGCAAGGAAATATCTCAAAATAGCAGAAGTAACATACAATTGCAGCCAAAACACGTCACCAGCAAAAAATATCCAGATGAGCAGAGATTAACACCAAATAACATTAAAATAACAAAAAGCAATACTCCAATCAAGGAACTGCTAAACAAGCTAACAGCAAACCACCCTACCAAATAATCACCAAGACCACTCCCACCAACGCTGACAGGGCAAGCCACTAGACCAGGGGTAGGCAACCTCGGTTCTTTTATGACTCATGGACTTCAACTCCCAGAATTCCCGAGTCAGCTATGCTATGACTCAGGAATTCTGGGAGTTGAAGTCCATGAGTCATAAAAGAACCGAGGTTGCCTACCCCTGCACTAGACTATAAAATGAGAGCAATTCCCTACCATACCCTACAGCACTGATGAAGTTATCTAGTTTGGGTAATAAAAACAAGAAAACAACTAAGCTCAGAGAGCACTAAGAATCCTTCATGCAATTATAATATTTTACAGTGCCTATTATTCTGATCATATTATACCAATCCTGATTTCCAATTAATGCAGATATCAAATTCTTATCAGACACAATTTAAAGTGCTTGTCTTTAAAATAATTTTAATCTTCACTATGACTGCAACATTGTTTGATTTGTTTTAATCAATATTTGTAATGTGCCTATTTATTTTAGATATTTTTTTTTAGAGAATTGAATCTTAGGCTGTGTTGTATATTAGTGTAACACCTAATTATGTAAAATAAAAGAAACCAACCAACTTACACATGTATAGAGGCTGGAGCATCATCTCTATGAAAGTTCCCTTCACTTCCAACTGTTTCACGGCGCTTTCCTGCTCTGTCTTTGTAATTTGGATTTTTCACAACCTTATCAACTTCATATTCTGTATTCTTTTAAAAACAAAAATAAACCTCATAAATTAAGTGTACTTTTAAAATCTTAGTTACATATATTGTCACAGGAAATTCCGGTAAAAATAGGGCATGAAAAATCGTAAAAAAAAAAGTAAATTATTTATATACTTTTAATTTAGAAAGAAATGATTAGGAGGGATAGAAAATGGCACAGGCTCATAAAGTATGCATAATAAAGAGGAAGCAGAAACACATTATTCCAGATTTGCTTTGTAGTCCTTGACTTATAACAACAGATCCCTAAATTTCTGTTGCTAAGCAAGACAGTTAAGTGAGTTGTGCCCCATTTTATGACCTTTTTGCCCCAGGTGTTAGGCAAATCCCTGCAGCTATTAATAGAATCTGGCTTCCCCTGTTGACTTTGCTTGTCGGAAGCCATCTAGGAAGGTTATAAATGATGATCACATGACCCTGGAACAGTGCAACTGTCACAAATACATGCCAATTGTCAGGTGCACAAATTCTGATCATGTGACCATGGTGATGCTGCTATAGTCGGAAGTGTGAAAACCAGTCATAAGTCACTTTTTTCCAGTGCTGTTGTAACTTCCAATGAATTGGAAGTCACTAAATGAATTGTTGTAAGTCAAGAACTACCTGTATACCCACATACCGTAGTTTTTGCCTTTAAGGCTTATTTGTGGGTTTTGAGGAGCTGATTATTTGCAATAGAAAGCTAGGTATTGGATTAGAAAGGTCTCTGATTTTACTCAGTAGGTCTGCTTTTACATTCTTAAGTTATGATAAAAATGAACCCCTTTAAAAGGCAATATTGTGTTTATAATGATGGTGTAGACCAGTGTTTCTCAACCTTGACAATTTTAAGGCATGTGGACTTCAACTTCCAGAATTCCACAGCCAGCAATGCTGGCTGTGGAATTCTGGGAGTTGAAGTCCACATGCCTTAAAATTGTCAAGGTTGAGAAACACTGGTGTAGACACTGTCAGGGCCTTTGTCTGTGGTCTAATCAGGCAAGAACCACTCCTATAAATTTGTGTTAAACACTCACATAATCATGAATGGGGTATAATTCATGCTTAGGTGAGCAAAAATGACTAACTCAAAATTATTAAATGAGCTCCATGATTGAATAAGGACTTGACCACATGTCTCCACTGTTTCAGTCTAGTATGGGTATCCTGATTCTTATTTGTAGTACATCTCATTCTGTATTACAGACTCGATAACTCATAATTGAGGCATATCGGAATAGACAAAAGAGTTCAAATGCTTTTTAAAAAGTTCCAAAATGCATTATTAATTAAGAATACATTTAAAAATAAATCTACCTGTAAGCCATATTTTACACGTATTTGTTTTAATTCTTTTCTTCTAACTAATTCCTTTTCTTCTTTTGACAATGCAGGGACAACTGAAATACAAAGGAATTCATCAAATAACAAAACCAGTAACTGCCTGTAGATAGGAATCAAATTAGCTATGTTAGACTTAGTGCCTATACTAATGTATTAATCTACCTCATAGTACTAACCAACATTAGTGCATCATCATTTATGAGCAGGTGCTCACTCCTTTAGATATTTAAAATGGGCAGGATTTTAATTGTAGAGACCGAGAGGAAGAGGTTGAGTATTCCCTTATCAATTAGCAAATGAAAAGGATAAGAATGTATTATTTGCTAAACATACTCACTGTATTGAAAGTCCTATAAGAACAAGCCATTCTATGCATCTGATGAACTGTTGCTCACAAAGGCTTAAGCCCTAATGAAATTAGTTAGCTTTGAAAACACTTCCAGATTCAACTAACACAATCTTCCCCCTTCCATTATAAAACCTGTGAAGGAGCTTAAATTATTTACTATTTCTTCATTTATTTATTTCTGACTGATGAAGGACTAAGCTTTTATGTTCAATTGCTTTGAGATGAAAAGGATACAAGTGTATATTCTTTTAATTGTCAGGGAGCTATCTACATATTAGGACAACATCTAACACTTGATACTTTTTAGCTTCACTTATAATTGAAGATGGTAATAAAGGAGCAATAAGCTCACTATAGAGAATACTGATTATCTAAATCAGTGGTTCTCAACCTGTGTGTCGGGACCCCATTTGGGGTCGAACGACCATTTCACGGGGGTCGCCAAACAAGACTGTCCGCCATTTTTTTCCCCTTTTCTTTGGCCACGCCCCTGGCACCCGGTGATGTATAAGTGGTTGGGGGTCACCACAACATGGGGAACTATATTATGGGGTCGCGGCATTAGAAAGGTTGAGAACCACTGATCTAAATTCAGCTTCTTGTTATATTACTGTCTGGTAACTACTTCAGTGGGTAGACTGGTCGATGAACTCCTATATACTTTCTTTTACAGTTCCCAGAATATCAGAAATCATGCTATCAAAATTTAGCAGCAAATTGATAGAAAAACTGAGACATTATTTCTAACCAATTTTTATCATCAAATAAAATATAAAATATGTCTGAGAATAAGACTAATAATAAGGAACCACCTCTCGCTTGCAAAAAAACACACATGTAAGATTCCAAAATCAAATACTACCCATAACTTCCTGCATTATTACCGAGATTGCTGTGGCTCCTAGTCACCCACACACAAATGTAGCCCTCCCCCCAATGTAGAAATAAATATTGTCTTGAGCTATCTGTAAAATGTAGCTTGGTGGCTCTTATGCTAAACTGACCACTGAGAGTGATGAACCCAACTAGTAAGGAGGCAACGAATTGTGTTTTCCTCTAATATATCTAGGATGAGATTAGATGCAGCATAACAGCTGTCAATTGACTAAAAAAATATAAATATATGCCTATATATTCCACATCCTGACAGACAATTTGAGACTCTAACTGAAAACAGAGATGAAAAAATTAAGTTTGAAAACTTTCAGTTCTTAAATTCAGTCTGCTTGTACGGCTAAGACCATTAGGCAAATATCATTGGGTTGAATATTTTGTGCATTAAAAACAAAAAGCTTCAGTGCTGAAAAGATCCATCTGTTTTTTTAAATATTAAGACAACTTTCAGCAAATCTCAGTAACTACTAAATATCAGCATTTTCAGTATTCTGAAGAGTGTATGACATCTTATAAATCTAATTTATTTATTAAATAAACTCATTTTCTTTTTCATCTTAAGACTCTATACCATGCAACTCTAATCATGACTTCAACTTTCTATTATTCTCTTTTTATCCCATATGGGTTTTATAATATATTTTATAATATATTGCCTCATAAAAAGATCTTGAATGTTTCCTATCATTGGATGATCCTCATATATGTCTAAAAGTTTCCGAGGTTGATCAATGTACTTAGTGATTTTTTTTGGTGAGCTATGTTAAGCTTAACTATACAATATTATTTTCAATATAATATTTTGTTTTAACTTTTCTTTAGAAATTAACCATAATATTCCATTACTTACTGGAAGGTTCATTTTTCTTATCAAGGCGAAGATGGGCTCTGACTTGCCCTGGTTCACATCCATCACAGGTTTCACTACCAGGGTGTATATGAAAAGATAGTACAGTTTCTCCAATCTTCACTTCATCACCGTGTTCCAGAACATGGGGCTCACTTTTTGTTTTAGGCTGTAAATAAATGAACACAGGAACTAGAAAGCAGACAATTAAGTGCTAACAAAAGAGCCAGGGACCATTATTTCAGAGAGAAAGGTATAGGGAGTGTGGTATGTGACCCAGCAAAAACATGCATTTAGCAGGGTCACAGCTGAGCAGAAATGATAGAGAAGTGGCCATTTCAAGAGGTGGGCAAAGGTAGGGGTCAACAAAATCAGCCAGGAACATATCACATTATTATACTCACCTGCAGAATTTGGTTTCCATTAACCACAGTACCATTCTGACTGCCTTGATCCACAAGAACATAACTTTGCAACTCATGATCAAAGTATACTTCCACATGGAACTAACAGAAAAATCAAATATTTTGATAGCAAGTACATAAATATTCTAAATGTTTAAAATGTAATAAATCATTTTTCTGCTGTAATCTTCTCTTCAATTACATAAAAATCCTTGAAGAATTGATTACCTTGCTGACAGAGGCCTCTGGAATCTGCAGGGTATGTTCCATCCCTTTTTCTCTGTGAAAAGAAATAATTGTTGAAGTCTGGGGATACATGCCATACAAATTCATTCAGAAGCAAGACTAGCCTCAGAGGTTCATGGCATACCCAAGTTCATTAGCAGAATCCCTCACTATCGATTATGTCAGCATTCCTTTAATTGCCTGTTGGAAGCCTTTGGATTACCAGAGCCATACTTTTTAAAAATTACCTTCTGAGAGCTGTACATGCATTAGACATATACAGTAGTGGCCAAAATTGTGGAAACCTTTTCGGAAAAGTGAACAGTAGAAATGCCACCTTTGGTTAAGTTTCCACCAATTTTTCTTCTAATTTCTTTATAACTGTAGCCTTGTTCACTTAATAATACTATTTTACATCACTTTCTGGGCAACCAATCAACTCTTTGCACCATTATTTGCACCATTATTTTAATTTTATTACGTTTTACAAGATCACTAAATGAAAGAAGAAAAAAACCCAACCAACTTGATAGCGATCACATAACACAGACAAATGTCCTCCTCTCAGCTTCAATACATGACATCAATAACTGAATCCTACTGTGATCTGATTGGCTCATTGCCAAAACAAGATGACACCTAATGGCTCTCTAAACACTCATGCTCATTGGCTACAATCAGATGAAGGAACTACCTGATATCAAACTAAGCAAGTTGTGCTTCCTTTTTCTGGTTATTTGGCTATAACTTTTCATAGAATACAGTAGAGATAATTGAACAAACTATGTTGCATTACATTCTTGATTAAATTATTTTTCCATTGATATATAATTTATGGTACTACTCCAAAAAAAGGTGGTGCTATTAGCCATCAAACCTCAAAAATATACTTTTCCCAAAAGGTTTCCACAATTTTGGCCACTACTGTAACTTTGAATTTTGAGGTTAAAATTATTTTTAGTAAAATAATAACTTTCACATTAGAAAAGTTGAATGCTGAACTTTTAGTGCTTTATTTGGTTAAATAATAAATAGTATGTCCTGGTTCCATCAAAATGGAACCAGTTTGCCCATCTCTAGGTACAAATTGATTCTTCCCCCCCCCAGTTCATTGCAGAGCATTAGAATCTAGTTATGTTCATAATTTTCTATAAAACCCTAGTGTAAAATTGAATTAAACAGTAATAACTGTGTCCTGATGAACATTACAAATGGTGCTGGGTGCAGCACTGTTTGAAATGTCCATCAGGACACAGTTATTGCCAATATTATCCAGAGACATCCAATAAATCCATCAGTGGACTTAGAAGGAATTATTATTAGATGGGTGTAGGGTTTAGATAGATCACCTACACACACACACACACATTTTATCATAGCTGGCAAACCAGATTCAGGAGTCCACCAAAATGCCTTAAAGTGAGATGATAAACTAAGAGAAAAACCCCAATGCATCCAAATGGATGCAAATGCCTTTTATGCAAGGATATGAGTCTCTACCTAAGCAGCAGTAAGGAAAGAAAAAAGAAGAAATGTGGACATAACTAGAGGATGTTTTTCTTCATCTGTTTCTCCTGAGTGCACTTCCTACATATACATTTATGTGTACATGCATCTGTTTTTGTGTTTGTATTTTAAAGAAAAAATCTGAATGATTGTTTTAAGAATAGTAAATCTGTACATTCATTATAACTAATACTTATACAAGAAACCAGGTTCATTCAAAATGGACTCTTAATTAAAGATGATCATTAAAAATAGTACAAATATGAATAAACAGGATGGAATTAACAAAAAAGAAATCTAGATATCTCATTAACAATTGTGTGGTACCTTCCAATTGTGGCAGGTTTCACAGCTGTGATGATATACAAAGAGCCCATCTGCAGTACTGGTGATCTAATTACAATCACTCTGATACAAGGTGGCCAGATCTTGTCTTCATCTAAATAAATAAATCAGTATCAAGCTAAGAAAGAGAAACTTCCCTGTATTATGGAATCTTTATCTCCCAAAGACAATTAGAAAACACATTTGATTTTCAGCCATTATATATCTGGAAGCAATATATAAAATGTGTAACTACGTAAAAATTAAAATATGAATAATGCAACCATATCTACAAGGGAAAAATTGGCAAGTTTATTTTCTCAAGCTGCAGCCATTAAAGACCAGTGCTAATCAATGTAACTCTAGAGCAGGGGTTCTCAACCTTGGCAACTTTAAGACTTGTGGACTTCAACTCCCAGAATTCCTCAGCCAGCTTTGCTGGGAGTTGAAGTCCACAAGTCTTAAAGTTGCCAAGGTTGAGAACCCCTGCTCTAGAGAGATACATCTTGGTTACATGCATATATGGCAGGGGTGTCAAAACTGCTGGCCCGCGGGCTGGACAAGTCATGCAGAAGCCGTGCCCACCCCATTGCCGGCAATGGCAAAACAGTCCCGATACGTCGCGCAACATCACGTGACGTCGCGAGTTTGACATGTCTGATATATGGGAAAAGAATATAGCAGTTAAAATAATTTTAGAGTAACCAAAGCAACAGAGAGAACTTTCATCATTTCAATGTGCTAATCCTAAAGTGATGCAATCAAAACTTTGCTAGATTAAGTGAAAGGGGCAATGAAGAGAGCTGCTGTATTTGAGAGGAAAAATGGGGAATGCATTTGTAGATGTTACACTTATTGTTAATCGGAACATTCAGCTACATGCTCAATATATTTTCTATCATTTTTCCTAACACTACAGAGTTGTCCAGAACTATGAGATGGGCAGCGTATAAGACAGACAGACAGCCAATGTCTTGCAATAGCAGTTGCTGGAGAACATGAATGAGGCAACGCCATTACATTCATATGGACTTCCCTTAAGTATCTTTAATTAGCCACTGAATGAATAGAATTCCTAATTACTGTATATTTGCTTCTTATTTAGTTAACAATTAATGGTAGTAACTGAAAGATGGATGATTCCTAAGGGTCTATATTTTAGAAGTCAAACCAAGAAAGGCTGCATAGGTAGTCTTCAACTTACAATAGTTCATTTAGTGACTGTTCAAAGTGATCAAGCGCTGAAAAAAGTGACTTATGACTGTTTTTCACACAATCATTCCAGCATCCCCGTGGTCATGTTATCAAAATTCAGACCCTTGGCAACTGACTCATTTATGATGGTTGTAGTGTCCTGGGATCATGTGATCACCTTTTGCGATCTTCTGACAAGCAGAGTCAACGGAGAAGCCAAATTCACTTAACAACCATGCTACTAACTTAACTGCAGTGATTCACTTAACAACTGTGGCAAGAAAGGTCATAAAATGGGCCAAAATTCACAACTGTCTCGCTCAGCAAGAGAAATTTTGGGCTCAATTGTGGTCGTAAATCAAGGACTACCTGAATTGTTCATTTTCTGGAACAGTCAGCAAAAAAACCAGAAGTGATACTTACTTTTTCTCGGCAGTAGACTAAATGTTATTGAATTTTTTGTGAACTTTAAGTACTTTTTAAAGAGTATTATCATCTTAATAACTAATTTATATCAATAAACATTTTATATCCACATGTAAAAATAATTTTTCTGAAGCTACATTTTCAAATCCATATTTACTTTTTTCTATCAATATCCATATAAACAGCAATATGCACAGTAAGTTTTTACTTGATATATTTTTCTAATTATGGATCGTACTTAATTGCAATATTCATAAGCAAGACACTGGGTTATTTTATATACTTCGCTGAAGAACCTGATTTTAACAGTTTTGCATTCAAATGCGTATAACTCAATTTTCTGACAATTATTTTTATCATTCCCAATCTGCAAATATTATTCCTAAATATCCTTCATAAAAACCTTTAATTCACCTTCGCTGTCCACATCTTCTGAATTTACAGTTTCTTCACTTGTCACTTCATTTTCACTGCTATATTCCTCCTGTTCAGTGTCTGTGATTTCACCTTCTTCTGGCTCACTTTCTGTATCTGTTTTATTATCTTCTACAGTAGCAGTAAACTCTGCATTTATACTACTTCTGTTGGCAGTAATGGATTCCTTGGACTTTTGAGTGTTTCTTGTATCAATACCCACTTTAGCCTTTTTCACATCTGGAAATTCTTCTTCTGGAGAACTTGGTTCATTAGTGGTAAAAAGGCAATTCAGATTGCTAGATGATTTTTGCTCTTCTGTGTTCAGATTCTGAAGATTTATAGAAAAAGGAAAACTTGAGGAATTTAGTTAAGTTTTAAAAATAGTGTGTGTATGTATGTGTGTGTGTCTCTCTATATATAGACACACACACACACACACACACACAGAGAGAGAGAGAGAGAGAGAGAGAGAGAGAATTAATCCTAATCTTAAACCACACACAATCTTGAAATAAAAATTAATCCTAATCTTAACACACATACACACACAGTATATAGCTGATAAGAGAAATAACTGATCACTTTAACCATTATGGCAAAACATTTCACAGCATTTTAGCCTTTACATTCTATTACTATTCTCAACACTTTTTTTTTTCTTTTTTAACAAATTGTACCTTGCACTTGGGGATGTCATTTTCCTCCTAGCCTTTTGCCCCCAATCCATTTTCTATATTTTTCTTTAGCCCAGTAGTCTCTTAGAATAAAAACAGCTGGCCAAATAAGCATCATTTCCAAATTCTGTCAGGAATCTCAGGAAAAACAGTTATAATTTGTCTTTTAATTTCTTTTCTTAGGAAAAAAACATTTACCTACTTGAAGCTCCAACTTCTTGATCAAAGAGAAGGGCAGGGAAGACCAATTGTTTCTTTTACAGAAGTGAGTCAATTATATTCTGGATAGAATTGTCAAGCTATTTTTTTGTGGGAGAAAGACTATCAACCATTGTTCTGTTAATGCTTTCTGGTTATCTACCTATATACTGCTAAAACACTTGTTCCCATAACCTTTAACTGGACAACATGCTGCATTTTGTCAACAGTATTCAACCAAGGTACCTCAAATGGGCTAACTTATAAAAAGCGTCCAAAATTCAGGACCTATCATTTCCAAAAGAAAGAAATTGTGCCTGTTTCAGTGCTGCTTGGGCTGCTGCTAATTTATTTTATATTCACTTTTAAGAATACAAATTCTTACAATGAAGCCATAAACAATTTAAGTTCCTTGTTTTATCTACTACTCATTTTACTTATTGTTATGGTCAAAAATTACTTACCTCAAAAAAGAGAAGCAATGCATAATTTAGGACAAAGTGTAACATATAGAGAGACCATAAGTGTATTTTGCAAATTATCTGAAGGAACAGATAATTTCTGATGACTTACACCTAAATGACCTGCCTTAATCTACCTAAAGACAAAAAAGCAAGTAATAAATCAAATTGCCTCCCAATGATCAGTATAAAATTTTAAAAATCATCAAAATAATTTTATTGGTAGTATGGTTTATTGGGGGGCATAGTCCAACTCAGCATTCCAAAAGGAAGCATCTTTGTCAGTTCCAATTGGCCTTGAGATAATCAGAAGAAAATCACAAAATAGGCTTCACTGAATTATCATGACATCAAATATACAGTAACTGTTGCCATAACTGCTCTGTATTTCAAATTATAATCACCATATTTTCCTGAAGAGAAGACTTTTTTTCTCAAATCATTACCTGTGGGAGGGCAAACGCAATTTAGTACACAGTACCACAGCTATATAATAAGATCCACTGAATTCAGTGGATCTTACTCCATAACTTGGAGTAAGAGCCACTGAATTCAGTGGATCTTATTATATAGTAAGCATAGGATTTCTTATACTTTCAGTTCAGAAGGAAGGCCTCTACTGATCCAGTTCAACTAAATAAGGATCCCAATTTTCACTCCCCCAATGGGTATGTCCAGTCTGAACATAACAGCAATTTACGCATACTCACCTAGCAAAAAGAGTCATAGAATTCAATAGGATTTACTAAACATGTATAGAGTTATGCCTGCTGAGCACAAGTGTCTGTAATTTCTGTCAGAGCATGCATGCCTGTGTGAGTGATCAACACAATTGCTTGGTATATATACTTACAAAGGAGATCAATAAACATTGCCAACAGGGAATATTATTTTACTGCATTTAATTATAATTTGGTTATTATTACTACTTTTTTTCTCTCAGAACATATTATTTTTATTATTCATATTAGTTATGCATACCTTCTGATGAAAAAAAGATTGCAGGATGGTTTAAACACCAATTGGTATTGCTAATATACCCAAGGCAATTTATAGATTTTTTATCTTCACTTACAATCTAAAGCGGACATGTCAAACTTGCAATGTCACATGACATCGTGCAATATATCGGGACGGTTTTGCCATTGCCGGCAATGGGGTGGGCGCGGCTTCTGGATGACGCATCTGGCCCGCGGGCCGGCAGGTTGACACCCCTGATCTAAAGGGATTACTTTAAATTCAGGGACAGCTTTCTTTTGGGTAAATATCTCTGTTCCTAATACTTATCCTTGTAATAATCACTTCCAGCTTATGAATTATACTACAATTTTACAGAAACATTTTATATTCTGAATCCTATGGGTTTAATAGCTACAGTAATTGTTTCAAACTGTTTCACCACCTTTATTCTCATTTGCAAAAGCCTCACATTAAATTTATTTACAGCCTAATCTACTGCTATTTGAAATAATCTATAATTGAATTGCCAGTATTTCATATTTATTTACTAGACACCAAAAAGAGGTTAATATAAATATAAATGCACCACAAGGTGCCTTTTTATTAACTAAAAATCATTTGCTAAGTAAATACCTTGTGCTCATTTGTCCTACAGCATTCTCCATCTCTTCGTTTCTTTTTGCCTTTTCTGTCTCTGCTGCTCTGAAGAGTTTCAGTTCCATAAGATTGTAGATCCACTCGAGAGTGGAACTGGTATCGGCCACTTTCAACATCACAGTAATAATATATTCCAGTGGTTGGATCATAATACAGCTGATTTTCCTTTAATAAAGTTAAATACGCATCATAACTATACATCTGGTATTTTATACACGTTACTATGTAGTTTGACAGATATATACTACAACAACACTTGGCAATTCATTTGATAAAAACACTTTGCAAGATATATAATCCATAAAAGCATTTGATATTAAAAAAAATGATGTCATTTGACTCAAATGATTCTTCTGTTTCCTCTCACTGTATACATCATTCCAAATCCTTTCTGGACAATTGTGGACACTCTGGAACAAGTTCTGCAATACTGTATATAATGTGTGTGAAGCAGTGGGAGGCATAAAATAAGTCTTGGTATATCTGCAAAAAACCATCTATGTAATGTTGAATGCAGTTCTTGATTTAAGTTTGATTCCAGCAGTGCAAGTAAAGTTAACGGCAAGATTCCTCCTTTTGTTTGGGTAATAGACACCACTGGTGGCTTTATCTTCTACTGTATAAATTACTGTAATTCACTTTACATAAGACTGTTCTTTAAGATCGTTTGTAAACAGTTACTGTATACTATATAGTAATTTCACTACCTATATCAACTGATTTCATAACAGAATTCAAAGTACTAGTTTTTATAAATAAAGTCCTCTGTAGCTCCAATATCTACAAAACCTTTTATCTCAGACAGATTCTGTCTGCCTAATCTGAGTGAATACCTGGAACAGATTTCCCCCTAAGGCAATGTTTCTCAACCTTGACAATTTTAAGGCATGTGGACTTCAACTCCCAGAATTCCACAGCCAGCATTGCTGGCTGTGGAATTCTGGGAGTTGAAGTCCACATGCCTTAAAATTGTCAAGGTTGAGAAACACTGCCCTAAGGTGAGGGTAGTTTCTACTCTCATCGACTTTTGGAAGCTTGTAAAAACTAGGGAATTTTAGAAGGCCTCTGAGACCTAATTGTTATGGAATTGCTGGCGTATAATACAATCCTTCTTGCAGTTTTTTGTACTCTTTTTACGTTGACTGTCATTCAAAGAAAAAAATGTGAAGAGGAAAAGGAAGAAACAGTAAAAACAGATAGAAAAAATAAACTTTTTTCTAATGTCTTTTTTCTTCATCTCTAATTTTTCTTTTTTTCCCCACATTTACTATATTTTTTCTTTGAATATATTTCTTATTATATATATTGGCTATGTCAATATATAATGTACATATTTTTGAACACTTCTTAGAATCCTTCAAATTGGAAGTGGGTACATAATCTTTATAAATGAAGCTTTACTATTAAAACAAGTCTGACTTTTATTACCCTCTGTTCAATATTTTTGGATGAATTACTTTTCAGCTAAACACATGTAGCCCAATTTTTGGATGCCAGATTTCAGTATTTTAGTTTCTGTATTTTCCATATTTTTGTTATAATTGATTCAGTGAAAATGATCAGTATCTTATTTTATCATTGTTTGGTTAGTCCTAAAATATAACTTTAAGAATGTTTACTTGATACTGTTACATTAAACGCTTCTTCTGATTGCATCACTAATGGGATCACCCTACTATAATTAAATGCCCCTCTTCCAAAAAGTATTCCAATATGCCAGTTTAAGGGGGACAGTTCATGAAGTATGCATTTGTAGATGCCCTTGAAAATGTTCTCTAGCTGAAACAAATTTCAGAGGCATGTCACCCCATATGTATTCTCATATTACTTTTACAATCCCTCCTTTTCACAAACCAGTTTGAGACACACAAGCCTTCTGTTTTTAATCATACTATTTGTTACTTAGAACTGTTGATTACTTTCAAAACAATTCACAAATATGTTTAATTTGATGATTTGCTATCAAATTCTAATAGTTAAAACTTATTCACAATAATATACTTTAGGTAAACAATAAAAACTTCAATATAAAAAAACTTTACCGAATTATAATAGAATCCAGTGCTATGGTCATAATATAATCCAGTATTTTCATCATATGTAAATCCTGTTTGTGATACAGCAGCTTCTGCAGCAGCTCTCAGACTTTCTGCTAATGTGCCTTCTGTTAATGAAACATCTTTTGATTTCTACGATTAAGAAATACAATATAATATGATAAATTATGTTATGTAGAAATATTGCAATCTTTATTTTGCAAGCCTTATTTTACAGTAACTTTATGAAGAATTCACCAAATCCCAAATTAAGTTTAAATTTCATTCCATGTGATAATTTCATTCTGTATGTTCATTCCAAAATATTATCTGCTAAATATATTAGCTTATAAGAGCAACCAATCCCACTTTTTATGATAAATTATTTATGTGTGAATCTAGCATAACATAGTAATGTATGAATTGCATCTTATTTTTTAAAAAAAGATTAATGTTCCATATAAATATTTTAAAAATATACTAACGAAGGAGTTGTACAAACTTTGTAGAAAAGCACACTGTAAAAAAAGAAGATATGTTTATTATAAAGAATAAAGTATTTTTAAAGTCCTCCAAGCTTTTTTTTGTAATTCTTAGAAGTCTCCAGAATCATGTAAATAAAATTCAGTGGCAGATCCTCAAATATCTGCATCATAGTTTTCTGTTACTTTCCAAAAGAATAGAAAGTAGTGACTGTTGCTAAAATTAACTCCATCCATTTATGAAATGCTCGGATGTTATTGCTGTAGTCACTAAAAATAGAATTTTTAAAAATATTATTTAGTCTCTTCACTACAAAGCATTGCCTATGCAGACACAATCTGTTTTTCATTAATGATAATCTATCTCTAGCTAGCTACAATTAAAAGCATTTTAAGTTTATCTAAAGAAGTATGTTTCTTTTTTCATGCATCATTCTATGTAGATAATTCAAAATAATGCCTCAAGTATCAATAGCCAGTATAATGACATATATAGTTAATCTTAGTACCCATTTAGTATTCTGATGTTTATTAGTGAACTTCCAGCATGTCTAAACATAAACTAATTTAAAAGCTGTTAGAAAAATGAAATGGAATAATGAAATATGTCATAAACAATTTTTGGATGAAAAAATATATAAATTTGACAAATAAGCAATCTTACCTGCACATTATTTATTATGTTGCCCTGTTCCTCAAGCTCATCTTGTTGTCTGTCTTTAACATCTAAATGATTGTCTAATTGTAAATGATCTGTACAATTTGGGTTCAATATTTCATTATCGTTATTTGGCTGCACTGGTGCATTGGATAATTCAGAACAGTTGTAATAATTGTGAGGATAATAATAATCTGTAAAAATTAGAGTGAAATATTAGAAAAATTATTTTACATACTAGACAATGTTCAATATATATATATATATATATATATATATATATATATATATATATATATATATATATATATAATATATTTCTCATTTCCTAGTGTTCATGCATTAAAGTCCACCACAATTTAAATACCAAAGTAAGATTCTATTGATTTCTAGGAAGGTGACTTTTAGTTCTCAATTTAATTTCTGCTGCATTGTTTATCACAAAATAATAATATAAAGTAATTTGGTATTTGTAAACCTTTGAGCTAGCTAGCTAGAGATAGATAGATACAAATACACACACACACACACACACAGAATATAAATAAATAGCATCAAAGCATGCAAAAAATACAAAGACTGTTGTTAATCAGGCTATTCTAGGGATCTGTATAATATTGAGACTATTGGCCCTACGCTCTAGAATAATTCAAAGATACACAAGAAAACTATACAAACATTCCAATCATTGTGAACACATAAAAGCATATTTTTCCTGAGTGGATTTGCCTGGGGGAATAGCCTTAACCCAAACATGGATTTCGATAGCAACTGATTTTGATAGCTTCTCGAAATGTAAAAGCTAAGGATAATCAAATAGGAATGTTAGATTTGTTACATATTTACTTTTTAACTTAAAAAGTATATTGTCATTATGAATTTTTACTATTAGACAAATTATTAAACCCAAAGACAGAACAGGGATTAATAATGAATTTATATAACCAAATAGATACTTGGAAAAAGCAAGGTTGATTTTGATGGGCTAAAATTGTATCATATCTAGTTTCTTGACTGAATTTTTGTCATTATAGGTGGTCATGATACGAGCTGTAATTTTAAACATTAAATTTGCTTTTATCTTCTCTTCCCCCCACCATCACTTTTTTCTTTTCAAATAATATATTTCAGTCTATAATGGAAGGAATTATATAATTATTACTATTTTTAAGTTGCACTGAAAGCTTATAGTCTAAGTAATTTCATAATAATGTTTTTAATAATAAATGTAGAGTGTAACAATGCAACTTGGAGCATTTTCTATTGCTTAGAACAGTGTACTTTATCAGCAATACAAACACAACAGACATGTATCAAATAGCCACGAGATTATTTTGAATCTAATAAAAGAGAATATTTGTTGCGTCCTTGGCGGGAAAACAGACACGAGAAGCAGCTGGAGTTCTCAGTTTCTTTTATTCAGCGTTCAGCTTACAGGAAGATGGCTTCAGCCTCGCCCAAACGCCTCGCAGCCTCTTATATAGGCAACTCCCGGGTAAATGGGTTACTTTTCCCGCGCCAGCACCCGCGCATGCGCACGGCGCTGGCGACAGCCTGTCTGGTCCCGGGCAGCTTTGCACCTGCCCGGGACTGCCTGCAAACGCCCGAGCCGTTTGCAAAGGCTCGGGACATAACACCCCTTTCCCCCGGGCTAAAACTACTACCAACATACAACATTTATTTTATATGACATTTTGTTCCCCAGTGCTCCCACTGTTTACTGGCCTTTGCCTTGCCAGCAATGTTATGTAGTCTTCTAGGTACTTGGGAGATTTCTTTGCTCTCTGTGACCTTCTTAGCTGTGGATTACTGGCATAAGTCCCCTGACTGGAGGGAGGCGTGAGCCTGTTCTCTCTATTGTGTCCTGGTGTCTTCCAAGGACTGTGCCCCGATGCCTGGCCTGCTTGCTTGCCCACCGGGCTCGTCAGGCCAGGGCTTCTGTTACTTTGTGACCTGGTTGACCTACCTAGCTGTAGACCCTCAGGCCCCTTGAAGTGATAGCCGCTGCTGGGCGTCTCTGTAGAACCTCCTAGGTCAGTCCAAGACCTGTCAGGAGGCTGTCCATTCCCTGAACCCCATTCTGTGTTCGGGCTCGTGTGGGTTTCTGTACTTTCCCAAAACTCAGGTGTTCCCTGATTTGTGCTAGGGTTGTTGTAGTCGGGACTTGGTTCCTCGACTAACTCTGTGTATGTTTGACCCCCTGTAGGATTTGGGGTAAGGTCAGGCCAACCTTGGGAATTGTGTGCCAGCTCTCTTGCGGGGAATGATTTGTTGGGATGCCCCCGGGTATCCTCCGTTGCTGGAGTGCTGTGTGATGTGTGTGGAAAGTGAGTATGCCCCCGGGGTGACTCCCTGGCTGGAGTAGGCGTGAGTGCCTGTTGTGTGGGTAAGCTCCATGACTTTCTTTTCGGAGCAATTGCAGAACCTTGGGACGAGCCGTTTGTGGCTCCCTCAGTGGAGGTGGGCAGTAGCTCTTGCCCTTCCCTTTGCTCCAAAGGGTCCCCCTCCCCCCCTGGAAAAGACCCAGGAGTCTCAGCAGAAAAGTCTCGCCTAGAGCGAAGTTGGTCGATGTGCCGACGCAGGACACGACCGTTGTCCAGGGCAACCTCGTAGGAGAGAGGACCTGTGATCCTGGACACAGAAGCGGGGACCCATGTATGACCAGGCCCGTAATTGCGAGCCCAAACCGGGGCACCCACAAGTAGTTGTCTAGGTGCCCTAGGATGTGAGGTAGATGAAGGCAGTCTGTCCGGATGCAACCGGTCAAGTCTAGTAGTAAGTTGGCGCCCCCAACGAAGTTCAGCTGGACTTCTCCCTGTAGAAGTGGACGGTGTGGTGCGATAAGAAAGGAGAAAGTCAGCCAACCTGTGATGCCAGTCCCCGTAGGTGAGTCTCTTCAAGGCGTCCTTTGCGATGCGCACCATGCGTTCAGCCATACCGTTGGTGGACGGGTGAAAAGGCGCAGACGTGGCATGACGAATCAGGTTTGCCTGTAAGAAAGCTTGGAATTCGGAGGAGGTGAATTGAGGGCCGTTGTCGGACACAATGACATCTGGCAGCCCGTGTGCAGCAAAAATCCCCCTCAGTACCTGAATAGTCTTTGCAGTGGTGGTGGATGAGACAGGCACAACCTCAAGCCATTTTGAATGGCTGTCAACAAGGACCAAGAAGAACTGGCCCTGAAAGGGCCCAGCGTAGTCAATGTGCACCCTAGACCATGGGGACTGTGTTTCCTCCCATCTATGCACAGGAGCTTGGGGCATCTCTGGGCGAGATCGTTGGCACAGGTGGCATGCGTGTACCTTAGCTTCAATATCTTTATCTAAACCAGGCCACCACAAGTGGCTTCGTGCAAGAGCCTTCATACGAACAATGCCAGGATGACCCTCGTGGAGGGATTCTAAGACCCTAGTCCTCATTGAGGTGGGAATGACAACTCTGTTTCCCCAAAGCAGACAACCCTGAGAAAGGGACAGTTCGTTCCTTTTGGACCAGAAACTCTGAAACTCAGGACTAGGGCAGTGCTCAGGCCACCCGGACAGGACCCAGGAGCGGACACGTGAAAGTGTGTGATCTGTACCTGTTTCAGCGGTAACATCCCTGGCACTAAGAGGGAGCTCGGGCAAGGCTTGGATTGATAGAATGTTGACAGCTGGCGCGGGGTCAGCTTCTACTACTGGCAGAGGACCTTTTAAAGCAAAAGGGACCCTTCTTGCTTTAATCCTAATGGGAGTGACAGTGGGGTCTAGCTTTAAGGACACAGGTGGTCCTTTGAATGTGCCCAGCTGGGGGCTGAAAACATCTGCAAATTCTTTGCAGACTTCCTGTAGGTCGAGTGTTTGTAAGCTGTTGAGTCCTGTGACGTGTATCCCCAGGGCCTCAAACCAATCGAGTCCTATGAGACTCGTTCGTTCACCCCCTACTACTAATAAGTCTAGTGGACCTTCAAAACTCTTGTATTGCACGTTAAGGGTGGCCTCCCCCTTAACACACACTCTTGAGTTCTGAAAATCTGTTAATACAATATCAGAAGGCCTTAACTTGGCCTTAGACCCACTACTGGAACAAATCTTCCTAAATGTATGCAATGAAATGATGGACAGGGCAGACCCTGTGTCTAGTTCCATAGATAATGGAACCCCTTGTAGCTTCACGTTGAGTGACAGCTTTTTCTTCATGGGCTTGTGTGTGCCTGTTCTACAGATGCTTCTTCGCGAAGCGCAAAACCCTACCCTATTCTGGCTGGGGAATCTGGTACCTTTCAGGCGTTCTTCTTGGGGTTGTGCCTTTCGTCGGCTCAGACACACAGCTGCAATATGCCCTTGTTTGCCGCATGCCCGGCAGGTAGCGGAGCGGAACTTGCAGTCGGTTCTCCTGTGGCGACCTCCACAGCCGATGCACTTGAGCGGAGCCGAAGAGCTTCCCTTCTGGTTCTCTTCCTTCGCGGGGTGTAGACGGTCGACTTCCTCGTCCGGATCCTCCTCGGAGTTTCGTCGGACGTCTTCCTGGTGCACGGACGCACCCTCTGCACTGTTTCTGATCGGCCGCATGTTTTTGATGGCGCCGCCTGCTGCTTCTTCTGCGGTGACTTCCCTTAAGGCGTCTTGGAAGGATAATTCTTCCTTGGCAAAAAGTCTCTGTTGTAGCTCTCGATGCCTTAGCCCGCACACGAATCGGTCCCTCAGTCGTTCCTCGAGGTCCTTGAACTCGCAGGGCTTGGCGGCCTTCCGTAGCGCGGCGATGTATTCCTTGGCTGTTTCACCGGACCGTTGATCCCTCTGCTCGAAGGTGTGGCGCCATGAGATAACGGACACCTTGGGGTGGAAGTGCTCTTTCAGCAGCTTCTTCAGGTCTGCGTAGCTTACAGACTCTACTGGAACAGGTGCTACAAGATTTTCTGCGATTTCGAAGGCGTCTTGGCCGCAAACGCAAAGCAGGGTGGCGGCCTTCAAGCTATCTTCCCTCACTTGGTTTGCCTTGAAGTAGTTCTCCATTCTGGATACGTAGGACTCCCACCGCTCTGGATGTGAGACGTCGAATTCCGAAAGCCTTCCGATTTTCGCCATCTTCGGATCTTCAGGAGACGGGTCTATCAGCCAGCCTACCCCCGAATGCGCACCGGATTGGCGGGTAGCTGCCGAGTCGACGCCGTTCCTCTTCCGCCGCTCAGGACTCCTCGGGTAAGCTTACACTTCTTCCTTTCCAGGTAGTGCAAGGCATCCCACCTTCGTCGCCAGTGTTGCGTCCTTGGCGGGAAAACAGACACGAGAAGCAGCTGGAGTTCTCAGTTTCTTTTATTCAGCGTTCAGCTTACAGGAAGATGGCTTCAGCTCGCCCAAACGCCTCGCAGCCTCTTATATAGGCAACTCCCGGGTAAATGGGTTACTTTTCCCGCGCCAGCACCCGCGCATGCGCACGGCGCTGGCGACAGCCTGTCTGGTCCCGGGCAGCTTTGCACCTGCCCGGGACTGCCTGCAAACGCCCGAGCCGTTTGCAAAGGCTCGGGACATAACAATATTTGTAATTCAGGGTTGAAATGAGGGGTCTTTGCAGCTCTCTGAGCTTGGTTGGTTTTTTTTGCAGACATTTCATTACCCAAATTTGGTAACATCATCAATGGTAGCAAACAATGCTAAAAAACAATCAAGCTCAGGACCCCTTATTCTGAATCTTCACATGATTTCTATTATGTCCTATTACCTGCATATAACCATGCAGCAGAGTCTTCAGTTTGCACTTCTACAGTTGATGTGGTCTTCTCATTTCTTTCATCACTGCTGACTTTGCCAAGTTTTTCAACCTACAAAATAACACAAGCAGTTAAAAATTAATCCTACAACATAGATTAGTATCTATTAGTATTTTTTTCAACAAAAATATTATTTCAAATTGATCAGATCCTCCTTTGTATAGAAAGGAAAAAAAACATGTTGCTGGAGATGATATTAATTTGACTGTCAGACAAAATTTAATACTTTCAGGTAACTACATTCTTTTGAATTAGTAGCACTTGGAAATTGACCACTGAATAATCTAAATGGATTTTCCATGCTCTGCTTAACAGTAACAGGGTTGTCTTTCAACACTGGAAAGATATATTTATGGTGCATGGTTCTAATGTTACCTGCAACATATGAAAGAATTGCTTACAGAAGTGGATTATGTATAGAAAATTATAGTCAAATTTTATTGAAACTGTTATGTAAAACTCTGCATATATAAGATAGAAAAATGTGGGTTAGACAGCATCACCATCAGATGGATTCGTAGCTGGCTGACCAGCCATACTCAGCGTGTGGTCCTCAATGGAACCGCATCTACATGGAGGGAAGTGTATAGTGGGGTGCTCTGTTCTGGGCCCAGTGCTCTTTAACATCTTCATCAACGATCTGGATGAGGGGAAAGATGGGAAACTCATCAAATTTGCAGACAACACCAAGCTGGCAGGAATAGCCAACACTCCAGAAGACAGGCTTAAGATACAGGAGGATCTGGACAGACTTGAATACTGGGCACTATCTAACAAAATTAAATTCAATGGTGAAAAAAATAAGGTTCTACATTTAGGCAAGAAAAACCAAATGTACAGGTATAGTATAGGGGGTACCTTCCTCAATAGTAGTAACTGTGAGAGGGATCTCAGAGTCCTAGTGGACAATCACTTAAATATGAGCCAGCAGTGTGCTACAGCTGCCAAAAAAGCCAACACAGTGCTGGGCTACATTAACAGGGGGATAGAATCAAGATCACGTGAAGTATTAATACACTTTACAATGCCTTGGTAAGGCCACACTTGGAATACTGCATCCAGTTTTGGTCACCACGATGTAAAAAAGATGTTGAGACTCTAGAAAGAGTACAGAGAAGAGCAACAAAGGTGATTGGGGACTGGAGGCTAAAACATATAAGGAACGGTTGCTGGAATTGGGTATGTCTAGTTTAACGAAGAGAAAGACGAGAGGGGACATGATAGCAGTGTTCCAATATCTCAGGGGCTGCCACAAAGAAGAGGGAGTCAAGCTATTTTCCAAAGTGCCTGGAGGCAGGACAAGAAGCAATGGATGGAAACTAATCAAGGAGAGAAGCAACCTAGAACTAAGGAGAAACTTCCTGACAGTTAGAACAATTAACCAGTGGAACAACCTGCCTCCAGAAGCGGTGAATGGTCCAACACTGGAAGAAGAGACTGGACAGCCATTTGTACGAAATGGTATAGGGTTTCCTGCCTGAGCAGGGGTTGGACTAGATGACTTCCAAGGTCCCTTCCAACTTTATTTTATTATATATGTATGTATGTATATGTATATTATATGTAATATTGTTACTGTTGGTTGCTTCTTTTTTGCTTTTGCTTTTTGTGTCTATTCTCTTTAATTAAAGGGGTGGGGAGGAATTAAAAAAAATACCTGAGCCCAAAACAAAATCTTGTATGATATGGTCATGCCAGCCAGCCAAATCTTCTAGCATACTATTAGCTGTATAGATAATCCTCAACTTGTAATTACAATTGGGACTGAAATGTCCATCATTAATAATGTGATAGTTAAGTGAGTTGTGCCTCAATTTGTGGGCATTTTTGCTGCAATCATTAAGCAAATCCAGCTTCCCTTCCCCCCCCCCCCATTGACTTTGCTTCTCAGAAGTCCTCTGAATATCACTCAGGGCGATCATGTGAACCAGGACAGCATAACTGTTGTAAATGTAAATGTGGATTGTTGCATGCCTGAATTTTGATCACACGATGAGGACACTGCACTAGTCATAAGTGCAAGGATTGGTTGTAAGTCATTTTTTGCAGTAGCATAATTTCAAATGGTCACTGAACGAATGGTCATAAGTCAAACACTACCTGTATGATTATGCAACCTTCACCCCTCACACTGGCTTACTTTTTTTTTTCTTTTTAATAGATTCTTATTGTTCCATGGCTCTGAAAGATTACTGAGCGTACTTAACCATCTTCAAAATCATTTGAGAGAGCTTGTTGAGAGAGCCTACCTTTCTCTGGAATGCAAGAAATATTAGGGATAGATCATAATGGCGTGAAAAAAATCTATGTAGTCACCAAGAGTCAAAAACGATTTGATGGCATTTAATCAGTCAACAGAGCAACTGCAAGCCTGATATAAATACAGGGCAGCTGCCATGTTGAGAGAAGAATGGCTGATGCTAAGCCAGGATCTAATGAAGGAAAGCTGGACCAGAACGATTCAACTCAAGCCCAGCATCTTTTCCAGACTCTACTCCCTGGCAGGGAACCAGTAGAGCTATCTGAAGCGCTGGGTTTCCTCTTGTCCCTCTCCAAGGCCTGGTAGTAAATCAAACACGGTTCAAGGGAAAGACGACCCCGTCCCTTCAATAGAGGCGACAAGCAACCAACTCCACGGGTTCCCAGCGGCGCGGCTAAGGAGCGCAGCCCCAGCAGGTTAAACTGCCTGTCCCCGAGAAGTCGGCTGGCGTGAAAAGGCACAAGAGCCGCGGGCAGGCGCCTACCTGCCTCCGTAACTTGGCCGCGCAGGCCTGGACTTGGAGGCGCCGCTTCTTCTCCCGCTCAAGTCGTCTCCGGCAGGCGCTCAACTCCGCTTCCAGCGCAACCACTGTCTCTCTCAGGGCAGCCGCCGGGGAGTCGCCGGCCGCCTCGGCCATCCCGCCGCTCCCTGCGAGGAGGTGCGGCGGCTGCTCAGCGATCCGGGCAGGCTGTGGAGCAGCGACCTCCGCGCCTGTTCAGCAGCAGCGCTGCCGCCACCGCTCGTGCCTCCACGACGTCCCTCGCGCCCATCGCAGCCGCGATAGCTGCCCCGCCGCGCCAAAGAAGCGCAGCCCGCTTCCGTTCCCGCCCGCCCCTCCCCTCCCCCCGGCTCCTCGTGGGTCTTCCTCCCTCAAGAAAACAATCCCCGTTAACAAAGTTCGCCGGAGATTAAGAGCGGCCTCGTCGCTCTTCCTGATAAGGGAGGAAGTGACGCCTTACTGCGCTAAGAGCGATCGGATCTGTGTCCTGTCGCGGCCTGCATTTTGGTGGCCAAGGAGGCGCGGAAAGTGTTTTGTCAGTCCCTCCCCGGGATTTCTTTGCATGCTGTCTTAGGGCTGGAGATTCAAACGCTCAGAATGCAGAACCGACACGCCACCCGTGTCCATAAAACACAGGGTAACGGAAAGTAGTTTATTTCACTTATAAAATTTCCTTTTGTATTTATACTTCCTGCTGATTCCGAAGTCCGTGGGTGATTTTTTCCGACCCATACGATACGTTTGGAAGCTATTTTTTTCAATAGTTTGATTTGTTAAAAGCTAAGCCTCGAGGATTATGCTATTATGCTATCGAGCTATGCTATTAAAGAACAATATTTTATCACGTAAATTAATACAATTACGGATACATTGAACTATATACTGTCAGTGAGCCATTATTAGATCCTTTCCCCCCCCCAACAAATTGGCTTCATTTTTAAGGGCAAAAAAAATATTTACTTTTCATATTAAAATATCAGTTAAAATATAATTATTGAATATTTTCTGAAAAAGCAGTGTTTCGGTGTACCTTATGTTTTATCAAATCCCCAAGATGAATGGAGCAAAGCAGTTTTCCCACAGTAGCAATGAAGGACTTAACCTGGAGTTTCTAATAATTCCGAATGAATTTTGGAATAATGCAAAAAGCAATCAGGTTTACAGAATAGGCTACTTTGGTTTATTCTTCTATGAAAGGCCAGGATGAGGAGAAGGTAAAGAAAATTATTGAGTTACTGAAATATCTATATTAGGGATTTTTTTCTATTTTTTTCCCCAATTTTTTTCATTCACAATCCTCATAGATCCTTTCTCTAGAACAGCAGTTCCCAAGGATTCCAGATCCCTGAAAGTCGGTCTACAAAATCAAATAAATATTTTAAAATTTCTCAGTTTTAATTTATAGTGCAGTACGCATTTGATAAATATAATCATAAAACAAAGCTCCTTGGATCCTCAGTAATTTTTAAGTAAAGTTTTGAGACCAAATATTTGAGAAATGCTGCCCTGCCCACTTTCACCAGTCATAAATGCAAGCCGGTTGCCAAGTGACCAAAATACAATCGTGATTTCTGGAGGGGCAACAGTCATGAGGATGGGTTGTAAGTAACTTTTAAAGTGATGTAACTGAACGGTTGTTAAACAAGGACTACCTGCATTGCAATTACCCCTCACAGTTACAAAAAAAGCCAGAGATGATTTGCATTCCTGGTTGACCAATAAGTGAGTGCAAAATCAGCTTTTGGTAGTATCGCCAGCACTACCGTGGCCATTCTCATGAAAGGAATTTTTTTTTAATCTTAATGCCTTTAAGAAGAGCCTATGAACCAGGCAGCAGAAAATAGAGGGAGTTTTTGTCAGAAAGACAGCTGTCCAGAAAGGCAGCAATGTATCTCAAAGCAAAAAAATGAGAATTAATTTTATATTTTAGGATTTTGTGCAGCCAAGGCTCTCAGAAAGTTTTCCAGATAGTCAATCATGCCCCAGTCACCTTATGGCTGGATTATTGTAATGTGCTCAACATGGGATTGCCCTAGAAGACCATTCAGAAGCTACAGCTGGTCTAAAATGGAATAGCACAAGCAGTGTTGGACAAACCTTATTTGCCTATGTACACTGGTTGTCCTGGAGCCTGGATGCAATACAAGGTGCTGGTTATCACCCATAAATCCCTTTATGACATAGAGCCATATTATCTAAAGTACCACTTGTTTCCCATAGTTTCAACCTGTCCTGTAAGGTCAGACATGCAATTAAGTTTGATTTCCTTCAGTTAAAAAATGCTGTCTTTCAGGACCCAATAAGTATGTCTTCCCTATTGCAGCTCCTGCCTTCTGGAATGATATCCTCCGTGAGATCTGAATGGGTGTTTCACTGATAACATTCTAGAACTCTTTCAAAACTTGGCTATTTTCCCAGCCCCTGGAGTAGGTTGCTGAATCCCTGTTCTGCTTTCAGAGTGCTTTCTGTCACATTAATTACTTTTATTACTTTTTTTAATGTAAATCACCCAGGGTTGTTTTGGAGGCGGTGACCCTACATTGTATAAATACGTAAATAACTAAAAACTCACACAAAATTTGGGTCAATTGCTGAAAGACAACACCAGCTTGAGAATAAGGATGTGGTGTTCATTGGAGCCAGGCCCTCTGTGATAGAATCTTCAGCTTTCACCATCCAATTTTGCCCTCAAATTCTAAAAACTATGGAAGCTTCTTTTTTAAAAAGTATCAAACTTTAAAATGTAAACATGACATATTCTATCTATTCAGAGCTGTTATGTTCATCCAATTCTATTTAAAATGTTTTAACAAATTTTAATTTGCCATTTTTAGTAATAGTAAGAAACATGAAAATTTGGATTTCTGAATCTTATCTTGAATTTAGACCGTGTTTAAATTGATAGTTTCTGACTCAGAGACTTCTCTAATTCAGAGAAGATCTGAAATATTTTCAGAATTGGAATCTGAACCAAATCTTTTGGTTATTGCGTAACCTGACAATGTTTTTTTTTTGTCCTTGTGGTTTGTTGTGCTGAAACTTGCACTTTCAACCTTCAGCCGTCTAGATATTTTCATTGGAATCCAGTAGATGGTGTTGGTGTACTGTCAACCACAACAGTATATTTTGCCACATGTTGGCAAAACAGTTCTGTTCCTATTTACTACTATTCTTTATGAGGAATTGGTCTCAAACTGGCAAACCATATTTTGATTAGTAAATGAGAAAGAAATGGATTCTACATGTTTCTTTAATCCTTTCATCACTTACATTTGCATATAGAAGCTTCTGTTTAATGAGAATATGTTAGACAAAAGTCCAACTCAACTTCTAAAAAGATCTATACGACTTATAAAAATACTGGTGAGCAATCCTTCTTTTCTATAAAGTCACATTGTAATGTTAATGAAGATCAGGTGCAAGGTCTTCTTAAGTGCACATAAAATCTTCCCATGAACAGTTCTATACCCAGAGTTCATTCATTTCTGTAAACAGCAGAGCCTTAATGGAGAGAGGGAAGATCCCTTACCAAAGCAACAAAGAAAGAAACATAGCTGAAGTCCAGACAATGAAAAAGGATTACAAAAATCTTTTAGTCTGGTCTACCTAAGGCTTTACACTATTGTCATGGAGACCAGTTTGATTGGTGACAGTATGACTTTATAGAAGAGAATTTATGGTACACCAGGATTGTTAGAACCAGAAGAAGGTCAAGTAACAGTGAAGCTTCCTTAACTTGATTAATAAACTTCATGCCCATTTTTGGCTTTCTGGAGATTATACAGCACAAATTTATTCAGATATTAATATATATCTGGAGACTAAAAGCATATAAGGAAAGTCTGCTGGAATTGGGTATGTCTAGTTTAATGAAGAGAAGGACGAGGGGGGATATGATAGCAGTGTTCCATTATCTCAGGGGTTGCCACAAAGAAGTGGGAGTCAAGCTATATTCCAAGGCACCTGAAGGCAGGACAAGAAGCAACGGATGGAAACTAGTCAAGGAGAGAAGCAACCTAGAACTAAGGAGAAACTTCCTGACAGTTAGAACAATTAACCAGTTGAACAACCTGCCTCCAGAAGTGGTGAATGCTCCAACACTGGAAGTTTTTAAGAAGAGACTGGACAGCCATTTGTCTGAAATGGTATAGGGTTCCTGCCTGAGCAGGGGGCTGGACTAGATGACCTCCAAGGTCCCTTCCAACTTTATTATTATTATTATATTTGAACTTAAATGCATTATATCTGAGAAAATATATGAAGTAATGCATTTGCTGTCTTGTTTCCTATTGCATATATGAAGCATGCAATGGAACATTTCCTGGAATGACAACCTTTCATCCACCTGTATCATACTTCCTCTAAATGATGGGTGTCATGTGATGTGTCATGGTGTATCATGTGACTTTTTTTGCATTGCTGGAGCTGGGGTGGGCACAGCCTCCATATGATGCAACAGGCCTGCGAGCCGGCAGTTTAATACCCCTGCTCTAAATGTTTCAGGTAATTTTTCTATGGTTATTTAAATTAAAAGACCAATATGAAAAAATAAATCAGAAACCTGCCCTCAAAAAAATAGACAGAAAATAAAACAAACTATCCAGTTCAGCTTACCGTATTTTTATTTATGATCAGAGTGTACCTGAAAATCCTAACTGTTCTAAAATATTAAATGACAGACCAATTTAGCCAGTTTACTGGATAAGATACTTGAATTAATGTTTTAGGCCTAGTTTTGTAGCAGAACGTGGTCTTGGTCATTTTGTAGGGTAAGCTAGGCTAAGAAAGAAAGCTTTCATAGCAGCTTTCAATACATACATAGTATATATTAATTAGTATACTATTAGTATATTTATTAGTATACAGTTAGTATATTTTGCAATTAGTTTCTCTCTACATGCACACACGCAAACACATTTCCTTGTTATTAGTAGTAAGTATCTCAACCCCATACAACTTCTGACAAAAGTACTATTTTCTTCTGGAAAGAAGATTTTTGATCGTAAGTATTATTAGCTGCTCTTGGGCCAAATATGTGTATTTCTCAGTTCTCAAACTACATTAACTATGATCTGAGTTCTGTCAAAGTGAAGCTTTTATAAAGTTATCTGTTTGTCTTGCTAAGTAGTTCTGAATCCCTCCTTAGTTTGTGGAAGCAATCAATCATCAAGTCACCATGCTGACTTATCTTTTGATATATCTGGTAATAACAGAAAAAGGGAACACAGCTATAAATACTTTTATCATCAATTACAGGTTAAACCCATTTCTGTGAAAGAGCTAATTTACCAGGAGATATAAGATTTGTGGTACTTTTAGTTTTGTCATAAGACAAAAAAAAGTCATAAGACATTTGTGTCTTGAAGATATAACTGCCCTAAAAAAGAACAATTATTAATAGTAAATTATTAATTCATATTGTTAGCAATAATATAGCCTTTAAAAATAACTATTATCATCCAAAAAGTTAGCAAATTTTGAAACTTAATCAATTCTTTGCTAACTAATGTACAGGTTTAGAAAAGTAGTATCATATCAATATATAAAAGGGGACATAAAGGAATTACATGATAATCCATACCTAGAAGGCCAGGCACCTGGAATCTGTCTCCCCATACTCACACTCCATTTGAATAG